ATAGCCCACACACCCAACAAAGCTGGGCTTTATGGAAGTGTGGTAAGAAGAAAACCGTTGTTGACGGAAACACAACACTGCTCATCACCCTGAGAACAACATCCTCACAGTAAAGCATGGTGGAGGAAACTAGTCACGGTTGGGGGAAAGATGGATGGAGACAAATTTTCATGCCAAGACATTCCTGGTATAAAATTCCTGCTCACCAACAGTCTCCATGCAATTTGACAGAGCTTGAGCAATTTTCCCCAAAAAGAACAGGCAAAAATATCATGATCCAGATGTGAAAGGTTGATTTTTTTACTTTCTTCGCTTTTTGTTGGCTTTTATTTCAATGATCCAACAATGCTGTGCTCTTGTAAAATATTTTATTCAGAGCTGAGGTGCTTCTCAGAGATACCAGATAACGTCAAAGCTGTATCTGTCTTATTCTCAGAAATACGAAAATGCAATATTCACATTAAAAAGTCAATTCGAAGCACTTTTCAAATGTTCACAATAAGGTTAGTATTGTAGATGCAGACTTGAAACTTGTTGAAGATTTATAGTAGTTGGTTCGAATGGCACTGATGCCTCTATAGACACTAAATAATGCTTCTACTCTTAGTTAAAAGGTTTCAAATTTAAGAGAAGGACCAATGTTGAGCAGCTAGGTATTCTAAATTTTTGCATGCGTAAACTATTATTCTAGTATTCTAGTATTATAGTTTCCAAGCCTTTGGGTGTTGCTAAACTTGCCAATGCATTTCTTCTTTTTATGAATATTTGCCCACTCCTAAAGTTTCTGCTATCTCTCTGATGGGTCTGTTTTGTTTTTTCAGCCTAATGATAGCCCACTTCACTTGCATCAACACCCCTTTTGACCGCATATTGAGAGTTCCCATGAACAGCTACCAAAGAGATTGCCAAAATCTAAAGTTTAACTATCTATGCACCTGATGTAAACATGCCTACTCACATCTTACAGTGATCATGCAGTGAGCTCTGTAGCCAGATTTCCCGGTTAGAATAATGGGGACGTTTTGGTGGGAGGGGAATGGGGAGAGAAGGAGAGCATGGGGCGATGCTCACTAGTATACTATGAGCTAGCTGCCTACTGCTAATAAGCAATGAGTTTTGCTTTGTAAATTACTGCGATGGAGCAAACGGATTACTCAAGTGACAGAAATGACTCAACAGATGAGGATTTTTTGAGTGCCTGTTACACAACGACATCCAGCCATACATGTTCAAGCCAGAATATACAGAAGAACTGCACTAGCAAGAAGAGCAACAGGAGGCAAGCAGAGAGAAACTGTAGGTCTTTCAAAATTACATTGAGCCAAACAACTCAGTTAACAAAACCACAAGTAGCTACCATACTGTTAACTAGCCATGTTTCATCATTATACACCTTTGGGTTAGTGACCTTATTAGCCATCTTACTAGTAGTTAAATGGGTGAAGAGATATTTGCTAACAGACAACTAGTTCTCCTGCCTCAGTTCAGCTTCTTATTTTATTATCATCATTTTCGGTGAAGAACCCAGTTACTCCACTTTCAAGTCTCTTTTATAGTCCTCCGGTTTCAACTGCTAGTTGCACACTCAAATATCCATCATTTTTTGCTGGTGTATAGGGTAGTAGTCCTACCTCAGTTTGGCTCCTATTTGACAGGTTGAGCATGCAGGCAACTCTCTCTCTCTGCGCATTTTGTACTAAATGCAGATGGAATTACTGTTGTCTTTAGCATCTAGCATTGCATTGCAATTAGCAATAACAGGATTATCCTTCCTTCAACTGTCCTCTTTTGGAAAGTTGTCTGATATGACAGTATGCAGGAAAACAAATATATTTATGAACATGTTTCCGATTCTGACACCTGATAGTGCAGTGTGACATTCTAGAAAACAAATTGTGGCATGATGTTCTTGATATTGCAAGTGAGGCATGCTCTTCCAGTTTTAGGAGCATCAGTGTGAGGTGCAACTCACTCAGAGGTCCAGATTGGTTGATCAAATAGGGACTTACATATTTGTACATTCACATGTTGGGTATCCTAGTTTTGCCACATCAAGAATTGGAAAACAGGAACCTGATAGAAAATCATGAATTCATGAAAAGCATGGACTCTAAGTGATGCAATATCACGTGACAGAATAATACATACGCTAATTAATTTCCTTTAAATTTGTGCAGATGCTTCATAATTTAAGAGTACCCCCACAGAGCAAAGCAAAATAGATGCCATGATGATTATTGCATTAGACAGTTTGACCTGTGCTGTTTTCACAGGCTTTTACAGGCACACAAGATAGAGCAATCTAAACATCTGTGTGGCATCAGTTGTATAATTAAACAATACTTCCAGGCAACAGAAAAGTTTATTGATAACTGGTCTGTGGAGTATTCTAGGAACATAGAAATGGATCCATCCATCCATTTTCTGTACTGCTCATCCTATACAGGGTCGCGGGGAGCCTGGAGTCTATCCCAGGAGAATCGGGGTACAAGGCGGGGGACACTCTGGACTGGGTCCCAACCCATCACAGTGCACAACCACACACACACTTACATACCCATTCACACAATACGGACAATTTAGAAATGCCAATCAGCCTACAATGCATGTCTTCAGACTGGGGGAGGAAACCGGAGTACCCGGAGGAAAACCCTGAACCTCGGGGAGAACATGCAAACTCTGCACACACAGGGTGGAGGCAGGAACCCCCAAACCTGGAGGTGCAAGGCAAACATGGTAACCACAAAGCCACCGTGCCCCCTGTAAATCTTCGATCATAAATCTAGAAAATTATGGTCAGATCATAAAAGGGAAAAAAAAATCACTAAATATTAATTAAGGTTCTATGTATGAAATAGGAAATAAGCTAATTATGTGCTTATGCAATGTTCCAAAGACTCTTTGGTTATATCATGCTCAATGGGCACTGCAATTCAGTGAAACCTCTGAATCACAGCCAGGGAATGACTCAGTTAACTTTAAATGGGCTGACTTGATACTATGAAATGCCTGAACAACAAAATACCTAAATAAACAAACCCTAAATGATCAGAAATTAAATACTGTGATAAAACCAGACAATATATCCAGCCAATTAAACCATAACCATTCAGCTAAAGAGTTCAGCCAGAGAATGAACTGCCAGTCTTAACCTGAACAAAACCTGCAGGCAGAAACAACCCTGACAAGGCAGTAGCCATCTGGTTCCTCAGAGATTATATTATTAGGAATGGAAACTGAAAGCATTTTTAGAGATGAAACTGCCATTTTAAATTGGGGCTGAATTTAATTAAAATTTTAATTAGGTTGAAAATACAGTTTCTGTGTGATCAGAAACAGTACTTACGTGCAATAATTACACAATGATTTGTAAGTGAAAATTGACAGTAAATGGATGTTATTGCTAATTGCATGAGTATAATATTAATCAGATTTCACCTCTTTTTGCTGTCTCTCCAGCTCCTTCATGCGGATCTCGCGAGCCTCTGCCCTGGCGGCCCTCTTAGCTGCCAGTCGGGCCTCAGCCTGGAGGAGAAAGAGAAATTGTTTTACTATAATCTGTCAACCCTTGTGTACAATTCCCACCTTAGAACGAAACAAAAATTTAGGATTGAATTTTTTATGAATTTTCTATAATTCTGCAATTCTGTGAAAACAGAATCTATAGGGCCCTATAAAATAACACAACCAAAATTACTGACCTCAGTGGAGTACAATAGTAAATAATCACATAAAAATCACATTTATTAGATTTAAAATCTAACATTCTCCATTATTCAAGTATAAACATTTACATGAAGCAAAAGTCTCTCTCGATAAAACACAGAGTAGGATGAAGAGAGAGTTAAATTGGGCTAAATAAATAAATGAATAAAAATAAGTACAACACAGATGCCTCTGCTGCCAACAAATCTAGTCCTTCTTGTTCATAATTGTGTGCCAGAAATACACTTAAAATACACTTCAAACAAGCTAATGAAGAAAAACTAATTCATACATTTAATCTTGCTGTGACCTTGACCATTCTGGATCAATTCCAAAGTCTAATCAGTTCATCTGCTGGTTATAACATTAATTCCATATAAATCCTACTACTTTCTAGTGGTGAAGCCATAAAAAAAAATTACAAAACATTATGAATAACGCCTGATAATTTCGTTAGATTTTTTTTTTTTTTGCAGATTGATTAAATACTTTAAACTATTTTAAGTTTCACATAATTAGTATTTACACTATTTATATATGTGTGTTCTATTAAGTTTTGGGTCAGTCTGATGTTAAATTAATGAAATATTCTCAATGGATATGGGCACAAAATATCAGTCCACTTGTGTACATATAGTCTGTTTTCTAATTATAAAAAGAAAAAAAAACAACAAGATACCTCCATACACTCATTACTACAAGTGAAAATCTTCAGTAATGTTATCATCATCACTGTCATGCCTACACCTTTGCTATATACTATCAAAACAGCAAAATTCATCACAAACACTACATACACCAAATATCGCAATGTATTTACATCTGTAGGAAAAAGAAAATGCAAAGTAATTGTCACTGAAATCAAAATCATGGCGAGAACCAAGAAACTACACACATTACAAACTTAATAGTGAACTCAGTTTACCATAACAGGAAGTCAGATAGCCGAGTCATTTATACACAGAACACACCCTTCCTGTACTATTAATAGAAAATGAGTTGATGTAAAAAGAACTCAATCACTACTTTTGTTTATATACAGTATTACCATTAAAACACACACACAAGACACAAAACCGAGTGTATGTGGCAATAAACTCATTTGATCATGTTGCTGCTGTTCTTCCAGCTGCTCCAGTTAGGGGTTGCCACAGCGGATCGTTGGTCCACACATTTGATTTGGCACAGTTTTTACTTTGGATGCCTTTCCTGACGCAACCCTCCCCCATTTTATCCAGGCTTGGGACTGGCACCGGGAGTGCACTGTTGTGTGCAATCCCAGTGGCTGGGGTTGGTTCCCTGGGCAGGAACTGAACCCGGGCCATGGCAGTGAGAGGGCCATGGCATAACCACTAGTCCTCCAGGGACCATGAAACTGTATTCAATCCATAATTGCAAATAATTATATTTTCAGTAATAGTATGTATCTGTATGTAAACACTCAGACATCAAATCCCTTTAGAACACATACACACACACACTCATAAAAGCAACATTCTTGCATTTATCAAAATAAACCATGATGTATGTAACAGTCAGAATCCAAAAGTATGGGTCATTTGGGTTTCCATATATCCTCAGTTGGAAACTGAAAAAGAAAAAAAAAAAAAACCAAGAAAATTAGACCATTTCTTTCACCTTTCTTTTTATCTCTCTCTCTCTCTTTCTCTCCTCCACAGCTATTTTTAATGACCTATATGGATTGGTGTCCCAAAGATGTTCTAATTTAAGACATTTCTTAAATTGAAGGTGAATTAGATGTGAATTAAGTTATGTGAAAAGAAAATGGTTTTACATGAAAACAGAGAAAAGAAAAAAAAAAAGAAAAAAAAAAGATCTACATTGTACCCAGGTGATCATGGACATCAAGCATTTCCTGCAGGGAAACTGCTATATTTACTTTGTTTTAAGTGTCTCGGCTGACATGCAGGATCTAAAGTGCTGCACAATGTATAAAGAAGATGCCATGGCCAACAGAACCGATTTATAAGCCAACTTTCATCCTCTAAAAAAAATTAAACCAGCCTTTAATCATCTTTTCCATCGCTAAATTTTCTGTCTGCTGAGGCATTTGTTTACAACTTACGACTCTGCGTAGACAGACCAGCCCATCCTCCGTTTATACAGCAGCATTCCTTTTGTCATAACTGAATGACTAGTTTTGTTTGTTTTAATTTACGACTTTTGATTTTTTAAATATTCTTTAATTAATTCGAATAATATAAAATGACAAAATGCTCTCAATGGTGCTCTTAGTCCCTGACCTAGTGAACTTGCACGATGTGTGTTTGATAAAGACTCCAAAGCACTTCTATAAGTCCCTCGTGATAAAGGCATCTGTTAAATGCTGTAAATGTAAATAAATAAGCAATTTAAACTTGACACCGTAATCCGTATATAAATTGAAGTAATCCATGCAAATTATATGATTTGCCAATCAAGGTGTACATTAGTTAATGCATAGTGTACATCTTTTAATGCATAAATTTACAGAGAATCAGGAGCAAGATACAAATGAATAGCAAATTACTTGTGTAAATGCTTGTCCGAATGATTTACAAATAAATCCACTCATATCCAGCTTGATAAATGAAGCCTAATGGAAGGTGCCACAAGCATCTGTACAAACAATTGTATGCAAAATATAAAATCTTAGGACCACACAGACACTACATCATTCAAAAAGTAGACCACTAACATTAACATTCAATAAGTAGACAAATTAACTCCCAGGGATGAATGAAGGAAAGGTTAAAATGAACCCCAAGACAACAACAAAGAAACTGGTGAAGTACCCACCTTTAAGAGAGTCCTACATCTCCATGGCCTGAAAGACTGTTGTGCAAGAAAAAAGCCCTTATTCCAAGACCCTCTATAAAGCCAGACTGAAGTTAAAGTGTTTGGCCATAATAATCAGCACTTTGTGTGGAGACAAAAGGGTGAGTTTTTTAATCTGAAGAGCACCATCCCAAATATGGGAGCATTATGTTGTGAGGATATTTCAGTTTGGCTTAAAGACCACAAAGTGAAAGCATTGGAGTGGCCATCGCAAAGCCTTGACCTGAATTCCACAGAAAATTTGTGGACTGAACTGAAAAATAGCCTGAGCAAGGAGGCAGACAAACCTGACTGAGTTACACCAGTTCTGTCAGGAGGAATGGGCAAAAATGTCAGCAAAGTATTGTGGAAAGCTGGTGGAAGGCTAAAAAACACCAAGAGTGTGTTTCAAGTTCAAGCAATTAAAAGGCAACACCACAGAATACTAACAAAAAATGCGTGTAAACGTCTGACTCACGGAAAATAAATAAATAAATTAATTAATTTGTCTCTTAATATTTTAAATTACCTCTTATGGACATAAAGCAGATACCCTGATTAACTTAACACAGGAACTGTGTGGTAACATGAAAAGTGTGGAGTTAATTCCAAACCTGCACACCCCTGTCCAAGGTCATATCATTGTCTTCAAATGTTTGACAGATGCTGTGGTATGCTTTGGATCATGAGCCCTTCCTTTTCTTCGCCACACTCTTCTCATCATTCCGTTACAAGTTAAACTTGGATCGGAACTGGTCAGGCTTTAAAGGGGTATTTAGCAAAGTCTAATCTGTCCTTTCTGTTCTTGGATGTTACCAGTGGTTTGCATCTTGAGGTAAACCATCTGTATTTACATTCATGAAGGTGTCTCTTGATTGTAGATTTTGACAGTGATACGCCTACCTCCTCCAGAGTGTTCAAGATGTTGTGAAGGGGTTTTTCTTCAACAAGGAAAAAATTCTGTGATCATCCACTTTAGTTGCCTTCTGTGGTCTTCCAGGCCTTTTGGTGTTGCTGAATTTGACAGTGCATTCCTTCTTTTAAGAATGTACCAAATTGTTGATTTGGCCATTCCTAAAGTTTCTCTGGTAGGTCTGTTTTGTTTTTTCGGCCTAATGATGGCCTCCTTCACTTGCATCGACACCTCTTTGGACCGCATAGTGAGAATTCCCATGAACAGCTACCAAATGCAAATTCAACACTTGGAATCAACTCCAGACCTTTTCTCTGAAACTGCTTATCAGTCAATTGTCCGATTACTTTTGAGCATGTAAAAAAATGGCGGTAATTCATAAACTGTTAATGCACTATTTTTGTTAAATATATATATATACACACACACACACACACACACATACACATACATACATACACAGTGCTCAGCATAAATGAGTACACCCACTTTGAAAATTAAGATTTTTATCTATTTCTCAGTAAACATGAGACCAATTTGCTGAATTTTTACAAAACAGTTTTATTAAACATTTATTTTTATTAACATAAGACTGTGGTCACCTAACATCTTTAGGATAAGAAAAATAATACATTTAATTTAAATGAGGTGTTGCAAAAATGATTACACCCTACAACAAATTCAACTAAATCTAATATTTTGTATGGCCTCCTTGATTTTTAAGAACACCACCAATTCTTCTAGACATTGAATGAACAAGTTGATGACATACAGCTACATCTATCTTTCTCCATTCTTGAAGAATGAAGTCTTTTAGATCCTGGATGCTGGATGAAGAATGACGTTCAACTTGTCTTTTCAGAACTCCCCACAAGTGTTCTATTGGGTTGACATGCTTGGCCACTGAATCACTTTTACCCTGTTCTTCCTCAGAAATGAACCAGTGACCTCAGTTGTATTGGGTCATTATCGTGTTGAAAGAGTGCCTAGGGCACGGAGTGATGGTAGCATCTTCTCTTTCAGTATTTCACAGTACATCTGTGCAACTCCCCAAAACCTGCAGCACTCACACAACCCCACACAGGAACACTGCCACCACCATGCTTTACTGTTGGTACCGTGCATTTTTCATTGTACTCCTCACCCTTGCGACGCCATACAGTTTGAAACCCATCAGAGCCAAAAACATTAATCTTTGTCTCATCACTCCAAAGTAGAGTCCCAATAGTCTTCGCCTTTGTCAAATTCTAGATGGGCTTTTTTGTGCATGGGCTTCAGCAGTGGCTTCCTTTGTGGACGATAGCCATGCATGCTACTCCTCTGCAGTGTACGTCGTATGGTGTCACAGGAAACGCTCACCCCACTTTGACTTTCTAATGATTTAGTCAACTGTGCTGAACTTTCATGGCGATTTTCTTAAACTTCTCTCATCACAAAACGCTCTTGACAAGGTGTTAACTTCCATGGACCGCCTGGAGGTCTCACTTTTGGATCACTTTTGTGACAGTATTCAAACTTATTAGCAATGCTTTACTAATTTTCTTATAAACTTGACCTTTTTTGTGCAAAGAAATTATTTTCTTTCTCAGGTCTTGTGAGATTTCTTTTCCATGTGGTGCCATTTTATCAGGATTATATGGGAGTGGATTTTCTCTCTTAAATACCACTCTTAATTGTAAATTATCCTGTGGCCACCTGTGTGATGATTGATTAGACTCATCTACTGGTGAATTCCTGCTAATTACAATTTTATTTTATGTTTTCTCCTAACACATTCATTGGGGTGTACTCATTTTTGCACCATGATCCTAAATTATTTTGTTAGAATAGTTCCAATTTTGCCTTTGGTACTGACTAATCTAATTTAAAACCAATAAACCAGATTTGCACAAATATTTGATTGTATAGGATCCTATAGAAAGTATTAATTTAAAAGCGAGATGGATGTTTTTCTGAGAAATCTGTCAGGTGTACTCATTTATGCTGAGCACTGTATATATATATATATATATATATACACACACACACACAGTGGGGAAAACAAGTATTTGATCCCTTGCTGATTTTGTTGGTTTGGCCACTAATAAAGACTCGATCAGTCTGTAATATTAATGGTAGGTGTAGTCTAACATGCTGAGACAGAATATCACAAAGAAAATCAAGAAATCGACTTTAAAGAATTTGTATTAATTTATTTGCATTTTATTGAGGAAAATA